GAGTCACATGATCAAGATAACCCTCTCAGGACCCACCTCCGTCACCCCATCTGAACCTACCCAGTCAGAGTCCAGGCCTTCCCGAATCTGAGTGATTTTATCATGCAGATATTGCACAAAATCCTCAGCCCTACCCTGCAAGGGGTCTTCCCGCACTCCCAACTGAAGTAAGGAGCGGGTCACCCTAAACAGGGCGGCTGGGCGGTTCTCTGCAGATGCAATAAGAGTGGAAAAATAATTAGATTTTGCCGCTCTTATCACCACTAGGTAGATCTTAATAAGAGACCTCACCAGTGTTCAGATTCAGACCAGCTGGCCCTCCAATCGCTCTCCAGGTGTCTTTTCTGGCACTTCATCTCCCTCAGCTCCTCCGAAAACCAGGGAGCCAACTGGGATCGGCACCGGGTCAGAGGCCGCAAAGGCACGAGCGATCCAAAGCTCCAGCGGCCGCCCTATCCCAGGTGGCCACCAGTTCTTCAGTGGAGTCATGAGCCAGAGCCTCAGGGAATGGCCCAAGCTCCATCAGGAACCTGTCCGGATCCATCAGGCGCCTGGGACGGAACCACTGTCCCAGGCGCCATTTTAACAATGAGTTAAAATGTATTTAGGCTTTCCAAAAGGAGCAAGAATCTAATCTAATCCAATCCAATCCAATCCAATCTAACCTAAATCTTCTATCACCATTTAGCTAACTCTCTATGTCTCAACTAGCTACACGGAGCATGGTGGCTCATATGGTTAACGTACTAGTTTGACGATCAGACAGATCACATTCAAGATCAGGTTGCTACTGCTTGTTCACATGGGCTCTAATCACTTGCTCCAGCTCCTTGCTGACCCAACAGTTTAAAAGCAGGTGACCATGAATAGATAGATGAGTAACATTTCAGTGGGCAACTTATTGAGGACATTAAAAGAGCCTCCAACTGAGTGTCCCCCAGATAATGGTGATATCACCAACCAAAGTTTGTAGTATTTGCAGAATGATGTCATAATATACCCAATGGCAATATGATATTTATTTATTTAATTATAAACAAGTATAAGGAAACAACTATCTGTATAGACATAGACATGGACACATGAAAAAATAAATGGATATAAATAGACAAAACATAGCCATAAACACATAAAATGATTATATATAAATGGGAACAGTAGGACAGGGATGGTAGACACACTGGTGTCCTTATCCACTCCCCCTTAGGGACCTCTTAAGAAATGTGTAAGGTCCACAGTAGACAGTTTAAGGTGAAAGGTATGGGGGTTAGAGAAACTAACAACAGGATCAAGTGGAGTGTTCCAGACATTTACTACTCTATGTGTGAAGTCATATTTTCTGCAATCAAGATTAGAACAAATTACATTTAGTTTGTATGATAGCCCTTGTGTTATTGCGGTTGAAGTTAAAGAAATCATTAACAGGTAGGATGTTATGGTTGATAATCTTGTGTACTAAGCTTAGGTCTGAATGTAGGCGGCATAGTTCAAGGTTACTCAGGCCTAAAATTTCAAGCCTGTTAGTATATGGAATTTTATTGCGAGCAGAGGAGTTGAGTACTGTTCTTGTAAAATACTCTGGACTCTCTCTAATGTATTAAAGTCAGAAAAACAGTGTGGGTTCCAGGCAGGTGAGCAGTATTCAAGGATAGGTCTGGCAAATGTTTTGTATGTCCTAGTTAGAAGTATAGCATCACCAGAGAGAAAACTTCGTAAAATAAGGTTGCCTAAAAAGGCAACTCTTAATGCCTTTTTAGCAATGTCGTTACAGTAAGCTCTAGGGCTTAGATCTTTTGAGATGAGTACTCCTAGGTCCTTGACAGAGTGTGGGTCATCTTTTACAGCATTTCCGCTCAGCTTGTATTTGATGTTCTGATTTTTATTGCCAATGAACAGGACTGAGCATTTGGAGTTGCAAATTGCTTGACCATTCAGATACATAATCTAGGTCATTTTGTAGGGTAGTAGAATTGTCTGTGGTGTTAAATAGTGTTACATCATCGGCAAAGGACCCAGCTGCTTGTAATATGATCACAAAGGTCATTAATATGAAGCAGAAAGAGTGTTGGTCCTAGAAGGCTGCCTTGGGAAACACCACTGTTAACTGGTACAGGGTTTGATATAGCGTTTCCACTTTTAACTACATCATAGGGACTGTCCCTTCCCCTCCAAGTACCTATTTGCATAGGAATAATAATAATAATAATAATAATAATAATAATAATAATAATAATAATATTTATATACCGCCCCTTCTCCCGAAGGACTCGGGGCGGTGTACAGCCAAATTTTAAAACCCAATATTAAAACCCAATTTAAAATCATTCAGTTAGACAGCCCCACCTGTCGGAACAGTAGGGTCTTGAGGGCACAGCGAAAGACCTGGAGGTCAGAGATGTTACGAATATCCGGGGGCAATTCATTCCAAAGGGCAGGAGCTCTGACAGAGAAGGCTCTCCTCCTGGGTATCGCCAGCCGACATAACTTGGCCAATGGCACCCTGAGGAGTCCCTCTCTGTGGGAGTGGACTGGTCGGTGGGAGGCTATTGGTGGCAGAAGGCGGTCCTGTAAATAAACTAAAGGATTGTTGTTCTTTGAAATAAATAGGTGTGTGTGGGTGTAGGAGAGAGACACAGAGAGAAACATGTGGGGTAGGCATACTATTAATACATCAGTTGATTCATACATCAACTGTCAAGTTAAAAATTACGTGAATAACTGCATCTCTTTAATAAGATTTCATTGTCCATCTAGGATTATGTATGGAAAGAAAATAAATATGGCTACAGAAATACAGAATTGCTAAACAATCTCATGTTTTTAATTTATATAATAGAACTACTTCAGGAAGTAAATGGATTATGTCTAATTACACTGGTTGAAATTCACGTTGCTGGATGTCACCCTTCAAGCTAAGCAGGGCACAGAATATGGTAATTTTGGACCAGGTATGGGTTAGAAATATCTTCCAGGAGAGAGATTAGTTGAAAACTGAGTTACTGCACACTAGAATAGGCCAAGAATTGAGTTTAAAAAACTGAGGTTCCAGAAGTACATAGATCGCAAATGAATCTGAGCTTGGTGCAAATTTTCTGACAAGGTGCAGCTATTGGCAACAAGGGGCATGACTCATTTAAGCTGTCAACACCATTCTTTTTAAGGAGAAAGTACCATGTGTCAGCTTGGTTCTACAATTTTCACAAAATGTCCTGAGGCTGGGGGTGTATGTGTTCAAGACCTTGATTGGCTGACTTCTCTTGTACCTTGTCTGGCTGATAAGAGATGAAGTCTGACATTATGTTCAGAAAAGTTCTTCAGTTTCTCTAAAAAAGCAGAGAAGATGATGCAATGTACAGCCGTATCATTGCTTTCTGTCACACTTTCAAAGTTGGCAGGGTGAAAAATAGAAATCCCTTGTATTTGTGGAATGACCTTTATTTTTAGTGAAGTAAATGTGAAAATACCTTAAAATCTCTCAAAACTATTCTAAAGATCAACTTATTCCTACCAAAATTGAGGAAAAGATATTCTGAATCCCTTTCTTATGGCCTGCCATTCTTTTACTGAGGAGAATGAGGAATATTTTGACCGGGATGTTGTGAAGCACATGGGCTGCAGGATTTTTTTTTTTAATCGTATTTATATGCCGCCCTTCTCCGGAGACTCAGGGTGGCTTACAGTGTGTTAAGCAATAGCCTTCATACTTTTGTATATTTTATACAAAGTCAGCTTATTGCCCCCACATACTGGGTCCTCAATTTACCTACCTTAGAAAGGATGGAAGGCTGAGTCAAACTTGAGCCTGGCAAGATTCGAACTTACTTTAATTGCAGACAGCTGGTGTTAAATTACAGGGCCTTGTCTGCAGAGCTATCCAGGCTCCCAAATCAGGCTCTTAAATCAATTCATTTTTTTATTCATGCATATTTTATCCTGTTCTTGATTAGCTATTGCCTACTATTCTGATTTGAGCTCAGAATCATTATCTAACATTAAAAAAAGATTAAGGGAACATTCTAGCTTCTGAAGTGAACTTCTCAGAATTATTGCTTTGTATGTCCTATTGATGTGGTGATGGACAGAAAAAGACAGAACCTCAAATTGGGCAAAAAAATCCCATTATGCTAAAAGCAGCCAATAAGGTTTCATTCAAGGGATATGGTGTTAAAATCAGTTTCATTTTTTCATTAGTTGCTCCTTCTTATTCAGATTAGGTCTCAGAACAATGATATAGCATTTGGGGCAAAATATGCACCCCAGTAATCCAGCTGCTGAAGCCAAAATGGAGAAGATCTCAACAGCCACCATGTATTTTCCCTTGGTACTCAAATAGGTGGGAACAAATGACACCCAAACACTGCAAAAGACCAACATGCTGAAGGTAATAAATTTGGCTTCGTTAAAGCTGTCAGGCAAATTTCTGGCTAGGAAGGCCACAGTGAAACTGACAGCAGTCAAGAACCCCAGAAAGCCAAGCACTGTATAAAACATGGTGGTTGAACCTTCGTTACATTGTAGAAGAATTTCTTCAGCCATGGAGTGCATGTCAGAATCTGGGAAGGGAGGAGAAATTGTGAGCCACACCACACAAATGCAGAATTGTGTCAGGGAGCAAGATAGGACAATAGAGATAGCCAGCCTTTTCCCCACCCATTTTCTCATTTTGGATCCAGGCTTGGTGGCCATGAAAGCAAGGACCACTATGATTGTTTTCCCCAATATACAAGAAAGAGCTACAGAGAATAGGATGCCAAAGGCCGTTTGTCGCAAGAGACATTTGACTTGGTCAGGTTGCCCAATGAAGAGCAAACTGCAAAGGAAAGAGAGCAGGAGAGCAGCAAGAAGGATATAAGTGAGGTTCCCATTATTGGCTTTCACAATAGGTGTGTCCTGATGTTTAATGAATATCCCGAGCACCACAGCTGAGATGACAGAAAAGGAGACTGCAATCACTGCCAAAGAAATCCCCAAAGGTTCTTGATAAGTTAAATAAACTATACGTTTTGGAAGGCAACTATTCTTATCCTTGTTTGGATATTGATTCTCTGGACATGGGAAACAGTCATCTAAGTCTGAAAAAGAAACCATTCATAAAAGCATTATTGTTTGAATCATCTTCATTTCATTTTCAGTATGCTCCTATTTTACAGTATTCTATAGACATAATGAGATCCCAATTTGGTAACCAGAATGCCTTTTATATGGTGTGGCCCTCGAAGATCATTTCAAAAACCATAATTGATCTGCAATGCGATGGACCTGCAATTATCTCACCCAGTTTTCTTATTTCTGCATGAGCTATACTGGCTCCAAGTTGCTTACTCTTTGCAATTCAATTTTCTGGTTATCATCATTAAATGCCTGGATGTCCTTGGGTGAAATGATAGGTGAGATCACCTTTCTTCAATGGTATCTGTCTTTCTCAATAAGTCTGGTAGGTAGGCATGCTCCAGATCTTGTCTGAAATATTGCCGTCAGGGAGTTTAGAGTTCAGTCTGGTCTATAGCATTCAGCCTTTTCCAATACTCTTCCATCTGAATTATTTGGGTTTCCTACCCTTTTATCCTTGTAGCAAGCTTGGAAAGCCTTGTTATTCACTTAAAGTATTATGGTAGAATGGGGATTGACTCAGGAGCCTGAATTTCTGGTACCTGGTGGCAAGGTTCTTTTTTTTAAATTATTATTCGTGTTTCTAAATACTGTGGTAAGCCACATAGGTTATATTATATGTGATAGGCAATAATAGACATTGCAGAATCAATCAATCAATCAATCAATCAATTAATCAATCAATCATTTCGAGAGAATAGGAAATAAAAACAAGTAAAAACTATGGAAAAAATTATCAATGCAAATTATGAAGTATAAAATTAATTTAATTGTTTCATTGATTCACATTAACATGATGTGAAGCTCAAGATTTTCAATCACCATAATATTTATTAAAAATATTCATTTATTAAAAATAAACCCCCATTTATATCTATTATATCATTGATACATTGAATATAATCCTTTCCTTACCTAATTGGTCAGCTATCTTCCCTTCTGGACATATTTTGCAATCATAGCAACAGGATAATTTTCCTTCCACTTTTATCTTGCTATGGCCAAGGGGACACTCTTCGTTACAGATGGAAAGAGGTAATGCCTGCTCGTAAATAAAATCAGAATTCTCAGAAAGAATTTATTTTTGGTGGATTGTTCTTTTCATCAATTATGCATATGAAAATTCTAAGGATTAGTTTCGGGCAATGTACCAGATGCTGATTTGGGAAAACCTTTAACTTGAGATCCCTCTGAGTATGTTCTCCTTAAGGTCCCATTTCTTGTTGGTGTCAAATCAAATCAAACATCTATAATGTGGTCTTTGAACAGGCTTGACTCAAAAAGGAGTACTGTAAAATGGATAGTTTAACATAGCAAAATTATTAGTCCATGAAAAGGGAAAAATGAGACGTACCTGATTAAACATGAGAGGCCAAACAGCGTCCTTGGCAGAAATGGTGAGTAGTTTTTCTGGGGGAGCCAGGGGGTCGATTTTTCCAATTTGGACTTTCAGAAAGGACTTGTTTGGAAATGTGACCCAATTGAAAATATCAAATCCAGTTTCTAATTGCCCATTGGGGCCAAAAGAAACCTGTACTCCAGCACTGTTGTTAAAGGAGACTTGTTGCAAGAAGCGGTGGAGCTGAAGGAAGAAGAAGAAAAGAGGGGGGAAACAACCCCAGGAAACTTATCAGGAATCTTTGAAAGGGATGTGAAAATTTCAATTTGATTCTTTCAATTTGGCCTAAATAAACTTGAGATTTTCTTCATGCGATTCATTGACAAATTTGCTATTCACTTGGAGTAATACTATTCCTATTTTCACAAGATTTCTTATTATTTTATTATTATAATTCCCTTAGAATCTTAATATCTAAGGAGATTCTTGGTCATCCAAGCATTGGTTGTCCCTAAGGTGTTTTTTTTCAAAAGGCAACTGGACTTTCTTTGTTTTTCCTTGAAGATGTTTTCCTTCTCATCCAAGAAGCTTTTTCAGTTCTGAATAGAAGCAAAACACGTTCAAGAAAGATAAAGAAAGTTCCTTTGCCTTTTGAAGAAGCATCTTTGGGATCTTTGAAACTCAGTAACTCCAAAATTCAGCTGGTGAGGAATAATAATGCTATTCAGTAGCAGAGTAGTTTTCAAGTCTCTACATTAAAAATTGTCAAATATAATGGACTGAATAAGATCCTGCACAACCATTTAGACATAAAAGAAAGTTGGAATGTTACATATTTCTAACAGTCTCTACATTTAAGGATTAGAATTATATTTATTTTTTATTTTCTTTGATATGAAAGTTTCCAGTATTTCTATATAGTTTTCAAAACTATCTGTAAAGCTTTATAATAGTTAAAACAAAAGAAAACAGAACAAAAACCGAAAACCTATTCTTATTCTTAATTTTCCCCGAATTTTTCATTACACAACATTACTTGCCAAGGTGATTGGAGGAAGAGCTTCCATCTCCTCTCATCCATTTTTTGACCCCCTTTGAGTTTGGAAGAGCGCACGGCCTTCAGAGCATGTGCCACAGCATAGACGGCATTGTAAACGCTGTAACTATGAGCATTCATGGTGGTCTCAAAGACAGAATTAGGAAGAGTCTCCAGCTTCTCTTCTCCAGTGCAGATCCTTTCAGCATTCTCATCTCTAATATCACTGGAGAAGGAGCATTCAAATGCATTTTTCCAGAAATCCCTAATAAGCCCATCGTCTTTTTCCAAGTTTGGGTTTCTCTTCTGCATAAATTGTTGGAATCCGGTCAGCTGCTTTGAGTGAATTGCAAAAGAAAGTGCACCATAGAGAAAATCAATGGGCAACTGTCTATGAATTAGAATGGATGTGAATTCCATCTGGGCTGACATGATCCAAATTTTGGCCGTTCTCTCCTTTGGAATATTATCATAATTGAAAAAATAGATCATGAGTCTCAAAGGCAACAAGCCTGCATTTTCAGCACTTAAGATAACTGCAATGACTGTACTCTCCATGATCACTTTGAATCTTTTACCTGCGTTTTCTATCCACTCAGCAGCTGCATTACCATACCTCATCTGGGGAAGACATTCTATAAAGTCAAAGCAGATTCCTCTCTCTGAAAACATGGAAAGTCTCTTCTGAATGAATCTTTCTCTTTCTCCTTCAAACAGAGAAACTAACCCAACCCAGGTCCATCCAAAATGCAACAATAAGTGCAATATTCCTTTCAATTGATAGGTTTCATCTGGAAACATCCATTTGACAAACATTGCTGTTTCAGTATTAATCAATGGAGCAGATCCATATGAGATCTAAATGGAAAAAGTCAGAAGAACATAGGAATGAAGGATCGCTTCCAAAATAAAAATGATAATAAAAACCAATTAATGTGTATTTATTTAATCCAATATCTTGGTTTGAGTGGGATAGAAAAATAGGGTGCTTAAAATTAGTCTTAGATGATGTGAGAAATAAAGAAATTAGGGTTATTCCTGTAAAACAATATAGCCTAAGTTACTCCATTTTAAAATCATGTTAAGGCCTTATTTTACTCTGTATAACCTGAGTATATAATTTAGCTGACAGTTTAAGGAGTGTGAGAACAGGATGTGTGGTTCCTGTGTTTTTAGAGGAAGTTGTGTTCTTGAGATGTCCAGGTCGGCTTGACCTCGTTAAGAAAGGGAAGTGCGTATATGCTGATATTACTTGTTATGCTGATATACACGTGTAAGCAATATTTTTAAGTAGGGTATTTTTATGTACTGGAATTATGGGGACTTTCCATAATGGGAATATCATGTGTTCATGTATTATATAAAGTCTGAAATTGTACTCAAGGGACATGCTTGTATCCTGTAAGATGTAACCTGAAAATTGTATAAAAGACGGCGAGAAAGGATGGTAATTGCTCCCTCACTTTGGGGGGACCTTTGCAAAGAAATAATTAAATAAACTATATTCTTGTCTTGTCTCACAACTCTCTGTCACTTATTTTCTGGGTACAGGCATTTCCTGTGTATCACAATTGGCGCTGAACAGGGACTTGAGGACCTTTCGTCTGGTAAGCAAATAAATCTAAAAAAGCGCGCTAAACACTGTTTTGGTGTTAAGGTTTGTTTTCTTGCCGGACGGGAGTAGCTTCTCTAATCAACCCTGGGACGGAGACTTGGAGATCAGGACAGGAGATAGGAGGAACGTTCGGGGGACTGCACTGGGAGTGAGTATACTTTTTCTCTCTGGGGTTTTATTAGGTGTGCTTAGTGTGTGTACGAGTGTGACAGTATGGGGCTTTCTTGGTGTAAACATAGTGAAAATACTAACAATGAAATACCCTCTATTCCTCCAATATCACCTTTAGGGGAGTTGTTAACTCAGTGGACAGAGGATTGGTTGAAGGTTCATACTAAACAGTCGGATAAGGTGGCTATGATTAATTACTGTACAAGAGTGTGGCCGAAGTTTATCTTGATAAAGCCTAATTACAGGTGGAGTAAGTTTGGGGAGTCTGACCCGTATTGGATCAATGCCTTGAAGAAGGTATTGGAAGGCAAGAAACTAATTTCTCAGTTGCCATATGTTGAACCGTGGTTTCATGTTCAGTGGTTTGATCCCTTTCCACCCAGGGATTCTAGAGTGTTGTATGGGGAAGAGGAGGAAGAGACAAGGTGGGATCCTTTGGCTTATGCTACATGCCCACCTTTACCTCCTCCATATAACCCGAATGCTGCTGGGGCAGTAGTTGGCTTAGCTGGGGCAGCTGCTGCTAGGAGCAGTGGGGGAGTACCTTCAACAGTTCGGCAATACCAACAGATAAAGAGGGAGTCGGAAGAAGTGCCAACACCGGTAAGACCTCCTTCCCCTCGTAAGACACGTCTACAAACTAAGAAAATGTTGCCCTTGAGGGAGATGCCAAATGGTTTAACTGGTGCAGGCCTCCCAGTGACAACGTTTGTAAATGTGCCTTTAACGTCTTCAGATTTGAGAAATTACAAGAGTAATATGCCGTCTTTCTCGGCGGATCTGATTAAGTTGTCTGAGTCATTGGATTTGTTCTTGAGACCCAATCTGTATACTTTTGCAGAGTTACAGTGTATATTGGGTTGTTTGTTCTCCCCTGAGGAGAGGTCACAAATTCGAAAGGCAGCTATGGTTTTTTTTTTGGATTAAACCCAAGTGGGGGCTGTTCAGCCTGTTGCTGCAGATGTTAAGTCTCCATTAGTTGATCCTGGTTGGAACAATAATAATTTAGCTGATCGGGAACAAATGGAGGGAGTTAAGACAGCTGTACCTCAAGGAAGAAACAAAAGTTTTTGAGGTGGAACAGTTGTGGGAAGAAACACCGTCTGTGTTTCTGGAAAATATTAAGGACAATTTGAATAAGCACACTGGTCTTTCTCCTGAAACGCCGGCTTATGAGTCCTTAATGAAAATGAAATTTGTGATGAAATCATGGCCAGACATACAGAAGCTACTACTGATATTGCTGCTCTGTTGAAGGAAGCTTAAAAGGTCTATGTGAATAGGGACGAGGCCAAGACTAGAAGAGAAAAAGAAGGAAAGAAATGATGAATGATGGTGTCTGTGTTGCAACAGACAGGAGAGGGAAAGGAGTTAGGTAGAAGAGGAAAAGGTTTTGTGAAACTTCGATTGCAATGTGGCGACAGTGTCCTGGAATTGGGAGAGGATTACACCAGTGGGAAAAAGTCTAGTGTTGGTGGATTGGAAAGCAAAAAGTGTATTATACGTTTGGATGTGATATTTGTTCTGGAAGTAGGTCTTAATCTGCTTGGGAGAGATGCATTGTCTCTTCTGGGATGTGAGTTTGGTATACAGATCTTTATTGTTCTTGGATGAGGCAGAAAACTCTGTAGGAATGTAGTAAGGAAGGTTTATTGTTCTTCTTACCTGAGGTTGAATGCGAATATTTTGTCTTTGATTAATGTGATGTGATGGTGATATGTGTGTGCTGGCTAATTAAGTGACCTTCTTGGCTTAAGTCTGGAGCTGTGGAGGACAGGTGTGGTTAGGGCCCAAAATCAAGTTTTTGATTAAAAACCGCATCCTGAAGTTTTCCACTGCTTGAGGAATGGGCTACAAGATGTCAAGGATAAAACTGAAATGGGTATCTGAAGGGATGGAACCTTTCCAGGTTTTATTCCAGGTTTGCAAATGTTGTTAAATGGTATGTGTGTGTAATGAGAGTTGTTTAGGCAATAGAAATAAATAAAGCTCCCTGAAGTATTTGTATTGGTAGGGAAAAGGCATGTGTGCGTTGGAATACACTAAAAGGTCTGATTGCAGAATAAATATGAGTGTATGTGGTAAGCCCTTAAATGGGGGTGGTAAGGTGATCCTGATATTTGTGAATGCCTGAGAAATTTCCTTTTGTATATTGAAATAGTGAGTGGCAAGAGGTTGTTGTTGTAGTTGTTGTTATGTTGTAATAGCAAGTGTTTAACTGAGCAAGTGAGAGATGAGAGAGATCCTATGGAGAAGTAGGATTAGGTAGAGGTATTTGCGATGTTAATTAGAGACAGGAGTAGTATTTTTCTTCTCTATATTTCCCCGTCTTTTTGTTCTGAATAAGAGAAGTGAGAAAGGGGGGAGGGAAGGTGCGGTTTGTTTTCCCTTTTACACATTTTTTTTCCTTTGTTGAGTTTGTCTGAGAGAAAGGAGGGGCGAATGGGTGATTTGATCCTGCATTGTTTCTGACTGCATTGGCAGCTATGCAGATGTATTTCCTGTTCTGCTTCAGAGAAGTGACATTGAAAGTTTGAAAAGTTTTTGGGAGTAGAGATCCGGAATACCTCTATTAGGTGATTTTCTTTTGCTTTTTGAAGTTTTTTATTACCCTCTTTTATGTTTTTGTGTCTGTGTATTTTGAATGATTTTGAATGCTGAGAAGGAGATTTCGAGATACTAGATACTGGATAGTCTGGGGAATAGTTGACTATGTTATTTTAGCTTAGTGTTGTCTAGGTAAAGATGGACTTTTGGTCTGGTTAGCTAGGAAGTTACTTGTAAGTTTGTCTGTATAGACTAGTGAATTTAGATTAAGCTTTGCATTTCTTTGAAGCTTGTGGAAATAGTTTAGCTAATTTGTGATAGAGGTGTGGTGTGATTCCTCTGAAGTGGGGAGAGTTGAGGAAAGTTACCGTTTGAATGGTCAGTGCAGATATGTGAGGTTTTTGCTTTATTGTAAGCATTGCACATATTAATTAATGAGGTAGGGAATATTAATGCTGATTTAAACTATGCTTATGGTATCTTACATACTTTTGGAAGAATCTGGATAGAAAGGGGGTTGATATTTAGTAAAAGGAATTGCGATAGGTGGAACTTACCATAGCTGTTTTAAAGGCAGCTGGGGATCCTTCTAAACTTGATATTATATAAATAGTGGATGAAGGGATGTGTAAGTGAATGGGAAATGGATTACTAAGATGGAGTGAGAATTTTTACTACAGTAGTGATGTGGAATGTGATTGAATGAGTGCATGAGGGAACCTATTGGGGAACGCAAGCACTTATTGATTTTATTAAATGTATATGCATATATGTGTCTAGGGGTGTGTATACAATAGTTATACGAATGGTACGGAAATGAATACATTGTGTATGTAAAAAAATATGTATGTAAAAAATATGTATGTAAAGAATATGCAGAGATTTGACCATTTGGCCTTTTCAATGAATCTAAGTAGATTACATTGAAATGCTGTTGGTGTGACCATTGATATATGTAATAATAATAGTGGATTATTTTACTGGATAGGTTGAAGCCTTTCTTTGTGTAAAGATAGGTGCTTAGAAGATTGTTAAATCATATTAGAGCGAATAAGACCCAAATATAGTGATAGGGGTATACATTTCATTGTCCAAGGTGATGAAGGTTATGGAACAATTAGGAATTGATTGGCAATTACATTTATTGTTTAAAAATTAATGTTAGAGTTTCAACTACTTTGAATGAAATGTTTGCCTTTAGCTCTATTGAGAATAAGAACAAGTCCGAGAAAGGATATAGGAATATCTCCATATGAGATGATGTTTGGATTGCCGTATACAGGAAAAGTTGGAATGCCCAGAATGGAATTGAAGGATGTTTTTCTAAGAAAATATATACAAGGACTGTCCCAGTGTTTTTCTTTTTTAAGGTCTAAAGGATTATTGGCGCAAACTCCACCGCTTGATTTTCAAATCCATGAATATAAGAGTGGAGACTGGGTCCTGATTAAAGCACTTAAGGAGAAAAAGTTGCAATCGGTGTGGAAGGGACCGTTCCAAGTTTTGCTGACTACTGAATCGGCTGTGAGGACAAAGGAACGAGGTTGGGTGCATTATTCAAGAGTGAAAGGACCGGTGTCTTCGCCATATGGATGGACGGTGGATGCAAAATCTACGGATCCGTTGAAACTGACCTTTCGTAGACAACCCTTAGATGATTGAGGACCAATGGATGGAAGAAAAGTTTTATGAAGAATTTTGTATTTGGTTAGGAGTGATATTGATTTTTGTTATATTTTTGATTGTATTAAGAAAAGATATAATTGATTGGTGTAAATCTATGCTTTGGTATCCAGTGGATGAAAGTTCACCTCGACAGTTTGATACCTTGGTGGTAAGATAATAACATTTTATCTTTTTGAAAGCTATATTGGAGAGGGGAATTAGTCCACTAGGAAGATGGGGTATATGGGGTTTCTGTTTATTTTATTGAAGGTGCAGATAGGGATGGAAAAAGAGATGTTGGCTGTGTTACAAGATTATCCAATAACATGGCAGCAGTTATGTTTCCATACTGAACTTGAGCACCGATATTCTTTAATAGAGACACTGACCTTGATAGAGGGTGCTGAAGAAGCTGATATATGTATAAGATCATCTTTTGTTGATGGGATACCCTTGGGCAGATATGCTAACATATGACATTACCACTAAATACACTGATTTGTCAGAAAGAATGGAGTTTTTATATAATCAATGTACTGATCTTTATGGTAATCATACTCCTTCATATAAGAAGTTCCGTATTTTGGAGGAGGGATTACATTTTCCATATTTTGAAATAAAGGCCCCTTCGAAGTTAATGTTTTTATGTGGAAATTTGGCTTTGCCTAAATTGCCTTATTTTTGGAAGGGAAGATGTGCTGTTGGTTATCTTAAAGCACCTTTACTACATGCCAGACGTATTGCTGAACGGAGGACGAGAGAAGGCAATGTATTTCTGGATTTAATGAAGGTAGCTTTGAACAGTTCTTCCTTTTGTGTCAGAGGTGAGACAACTGTCTCTGATATAATGGCTATATGCTTTGTGGGGGTACCAGTACCGGGAAAGTTTTTGTTTGAGGAAGCAAATATTGTAATAGAGCCAAATAATCTTAATTTGTCACATATTATAACATTATTTGGGAGTCCACAAAAGCCAACTAAGTGGACAAATCAGAAGAAACTGGTGATTGAAGTTAAGACAATATTGCCAGCATATGATTGTGTAATATATAAACATCCTGAGAAGCGACCGGAGAAGGTAATATATGTTCCTGTGCCTAATAAAAAGGTTTTTCACTGCTCAGAAACGGAGGAAGTGGAAGCTATAAATCAGGTTCTATATTTGCCTAAAGGTTGGTTTCTCTTTTGTGGGTTATATGCTTATGCATATATTCCAGCACATGCAGTAGGTGGTCCTTGTACTATTGGCCGTTTAACTACTGTTATGGCTGTTGCACATTTTAAAGATATAAATTATAAAACAGAGTTTTATTATGAGATGATGAATGCAAGTCTGTATCATACTGACCGTGTTCAGAAAAAAGTAATGACTAAAGTAACTACACATTTAACATATGTAACTGAGAATACAGCTTTCAAAGAAGTTTGGGGTATATTAACTTCATGGTTACCTAGCTTTACATGGTTAAGGGAATTGTTTGTAGGCATATTATTGATTGAAGTTATATGTCTTATTTCCTGTCTTTGTATTAAATGTATACCTCTTTGCTGTAATGTTTGGAAGTGTTGCTGCCAAATAAAGAAGCAAAAGAAATTAGTTGAAGATTCGCATGGTGGCTTGGGAAGAAGAGAGGTTTCTATAATGTTGCAAGATATACATAGTTTCCAGGAATAAAACTGATAAAGAGAAGAAGGAGGGATTGTGAGAAATAAAGAAATTAGGGTTATTCCTGTAAAACAATATAGCCTAAGTTACTCCATTTTAAAATCATGTTAAGGCCTTATTTTACTCTGTATAACCTGAGTATATAATTTAGCTGACAGTTTAAGGAGTGTGAGAACAGGATGTGTGGTTCCTGTGTTTTTAGAGGAAGTTGTGTTCTTGAGATGTCCAGGTCGGCTTGACCTCGTTAAGAAAGGGAAGTGCGTATATGCTGATATTACTTGTTATGCTGATATACACGTGTAAGCAATATTTTTAAGTAGGGTATTTTTATGTACTGGAATTATGGGGACTTTCCATAATGGGAATATCATGTGTTCATGTATTATATAAAGTCTGAAATTGTACTCAAGGGACATGCTTGTATCCTGTAAGATGTAACCTGAAAATTGTATAAAAGACGGCGAGAAAGGATGGTAATTGCTCCCTCACTTTGGGGGGGACCTTTGCAAAGAAATAATTAAATAAACTATATTCTTGTCTTGTCTCACAACTCTCTGTCAATTATTTTCTGGGTACAGGCATTTCCTGTGTATCACAGATGACATCTGCCATGTTGGTCATCAAGCAAAAAGGGACAGTCCTTTCAAGATGTTCTTATTCATGGTTTTTCTCAAATTTTCATTTCAGTGACCCACCTTTTGAATATAATAAATAGCTGGCGAGCAACTCATATTGATCCATTTTTTGTCTCACCTGAGGAACTTTGTAGTTGCATAGAGGGATTGCCATGTTGAGACAGGTGTTACTACGGGGTCCTCCAATGACAGCTACTGTGTTGGTCTGGTCCTTGCATTTGTAGTTGGGTATAAATTTATCCTTTGTAGATAGAAATTCCATTGCTAAATGATAAATTGTAATTTCCACAGGATAGTGAGTAGCGATATGGAAACCAAGGCTAACATTGGGTAAAATCCCAGAATGTTCATTGATCTCCTTTACAGCAAATGCCAGAGCCAAAGTGTGCTGGTAATTATGAGTGATGAACCTTCAGCGAGAGTTAGAATCTGTCAATATTTTTCTATTTCAGAATTGGACAGCTGTTGTAATGTATACATATAAATGATACATAAATATAATATAAATTAGTGCTTATTTTTTCTTCTGGACACCTACAATTTGGTCACTAACAAATAGCCCTAGATTGTATCAACTAGGAAACACTGACCTACTTGTGGCAACTTAACGTTCAGCTAAGGTAACATTTAATCAGACCATATTTGAAATATTGTGTTCAGTTTTGGAGACCTCACTTTAAAAAAAATGTATCGATAAGGTTGAGAGAGTCCAGAGATGGGCAACAAAAAGGCTACAAGAACAGAGAGAAAATATATCAGGAAATATTAGAGGAAACAAATATATTCATCCTAGAGGGCAGATGGAAAGGGGGTACATGACTGAAACTTTTAAATGAATTAAGGAGTGTGAATAAAGTTCTAGAAGACAATATTCTCAATATTAAATACAACATAAGAACATGGGGATATAATCTTACAGTGACAAGAGTGAAGTTCAAAACTAATTTTATTATTTCACAGAAAGAGTAGTGGAACCGTAACCAACTTCCAGAGGAGCTAGTGGATCAGTCATCAGTAACTGAGTTAAAACTCGCTGGGGATAAACATATGACACAGACAAAACATTTCTGCCATCAGTTTCCTATGTCTCTATGTGATTTGAGCATTATCTCTATCTTATCCATATTTTCTGAGAGAATAAAGCCACTTCTCTTTTCACACCCTAGATGTATGATAGCTTAATATATGCCCTAGAGGGTTTCTATTTTATATCTGGATGAAATGAGAGGCAAAAAAGCTCAAGATTAACCAGAGAGCTCCTGCAATATTTAGATTAGTCAAACTTTCTACTTTCATCAAGGGACTTTGTTGAATGAAGGAAGTTTCCTGAAGGGAATGAAATTCATATACTTTATGATTAAAACTAATAATATTGATCTCAATTTCAACATCAGTATTAGGATAGGTCTACAATAAAAAAAAAGGACTACATACGGTCACTGGAACAGGTTAAAACAAGTGACTAGCAACCAATACCTTTAAGCCTAAACATGAAAGAAAATGCATCTTTTAGGTGGCAATGTGCCGGAAACGGAGGTTGTAGTACGAGGAGGAGGAGAGTAGTAGGATACTTACAGGTACTGATCTAGGACATCATAAGAAGGAAACCTTTGAAAAGTGATCTCGTTTGTAAGAAAGAAAACCTGAGAAATAATAGCAGCAATGATTAAATCTCCAGATTGGTAATATTTATGAACAATTGGAAGAGGACTACTAAATCTACAAGTGAAGGGAGGAGAAATGCTCATCATAGTTGGGGAAAAAAGTAAAACTAATGTTCTGAATATAACAAATTCATTGTAATATGTACTCATTGTAGACATGAAATAGTAACTCCCATGTTACCATTCAACTAACTCATTAAGTGTATCTAAAGTTAAGGTAATGAACTTTATCTAAAGTTAACAGAATAGCAGAACTGGAAGGGACTTTGGAGATCTTCTAATGAAATATCACAGATGAAACACAAATCCTCTCCCCCCCCCCAAACACACACATTCATGTCTGTATTTCTAAGCAGATATTAATATAATGCAATGTCTTAATCCAAGCTCATCATTTTTACAGTGTTTGCTGGAATTCCCTTAAGATTTGGAGAAGAAGGGACAATAACTATTCTTAATTACTAATCACTACCATTCTTTGCAATGATACTTTGAGAAATATCAGGAAGAAACATGTTTATCATATGTCAATAGACAGTGCTGCACTGCTATGAACAGTGGTGGGTTCCGCCCGGTTCCTCCGGTTCCGTCAAGCCGGTAGAAGTGACGAAATGATGTCACCGAACCGGTTCTGACCCCCACACCCCATGCCCCCCATGCGTTAGTCTTACCTTTTATTTAGCCCCACCCCCAATCTATTGCTGCCTCCTGAGTCCCAGCTGATGGGCTATAAGGAAAAACTGTTTAAACTCTTGCCCTGGGGCTTCAAAGGGCGGCCCTACAGCTGATCAGTGGTAAAAGGCAGATTGGTGGTAAACCGGTGCCTCCAAAAACAAATGAGTAGACCAGTGCCTGCAAAAATAAATGGGCAGACCAGTGCCTGCAAAAATACATGAGTAGACCAATGCCTGCAAAAATAAATGGGTAGACCAGTGCCTACAAAAATTCATGAGTAGACCAGTGCCTGCAAAGATAAATGGGTAGACCGGTACAGCTCTGCAAGCAGTTAAAAGCCTGGTAGACCAGTACCTCTGCCAAATCCTAAAGATTTGTCACATGACCATCAAGCCACTCCCACAAAATAAGCCACGCCCACAGAAAGTAAAAAAAAATAGAACCCACCCCTGGCTAGGAACATTTGGAAGACGTGAAATAAATATGGGGGAATGGGAGTTCATGTGCTGAGATGAAAACATAATAGAACTATAGAAAGGAAAAGAATGGAAACAGTTCTGTTGGGGTCATTTTTCTCAATAATTTTGTTATTAACACTTTGCTGAATACAACACTTTGGTTTTTAAAAACAATCTTAAATTGTTCTGGTTTTAAAGCTTCATTTTATTGATGAAATGGTACACCACCCATTTCTGAAGGAGATGGGAAGCAAAGAAGTGTGAAATAATGAAGGAAGGAAGGAAGGAAGGAAGGAAGGAAGGAAGGAAGGAAGGAAGGAAGGAAGGAAGGAAGGAAGGAAGGATCTAACTTTAAAAGGAGTACTATAACAATTATTCAGTCTCCAGAAAGACATTATCTTGGAATGTAAAAGATGTAGTCCATCAGAAATGAGGCTCTGAGTTGGGAGTTGAGCCTGTTATGGTGGATTTACAGTTCCTGAAAGAGCAGATGAGCATTTTCTGAATGCTCCTCCTGCTATCTCTTTTTCTCAAGATCCTGTAGCAATCAGGAGCATTTTTGACAACACCCAAATATCAAAATAACTTTTGGGAGTCTTCTCTTCTCTTCTCTTCTCTTCTCTTCTCTTCTCTTCTCTTCTCTTCTCTTCTCTTTTCTCTTTGTTTTTTTTTTTCAATTGTTTGACTGGTTTTCAGTATAGAGCCTGGGACTCACATCATTACAAGAGAGAAGGGATAACCAGAAGTCTCTTTCAGTTTTGTGAAAATATGGACACTGTATCACTATGCTACACAGCTGCCCCAGAGCTTAGCTAGTCTTGGTAATCCTGGACTCAATTTCTGTATCACAAAATTCATAGCTCAAGATAATACTTCCCAAGTACTTGAAGCTCTTACATTTGTCATAAAGAAACTAAAGAATGTTTGCGGAGTAATCATTTGAAAGAGGAAAGTAAAGCTGAAGTGATGGTACTAGTCAATGAGTTAAGGTGTATTTAGGCTTTCCAAAAAGAGCAAGAATCTCATCTCATCTCATCTTCTATCACCATTTAGCCAACTATGTCTCAACGAGCTACATGGAGCATGGAGGCTCATATGTTTTAGGTACTAGTTTGATAATCAGCAGGATCACATTCAACATCAGATTGCTACCTCTTGTTCACATGGGCTCCCATCACTCGCTCCAGCTCCTGCTGACACAACAGTTTGAAAGCAGGTGACCCTGAATAGATAGATGTGTACCATTTCAATTGGCAATTTATTAAGGACATTAAAGGAGCTTCCAACTGAGTGTCCCCCAGACAATGGTGATATCACCAACCAAAGTTTGCAGTATTTACAGAATGATGTCATGAGATACCTAATGGTGATATGATATCACAGGTACTGCCCCTTTCCTCCAAGTACCATAGAACTAAAGGATTGTTGTGTCTTCTTTTAAAATAAATGTGTGTGTGTGTGTCTCTGTGTAGGAGAGAGACAGAGAGAATGATGTGGGGTAGGCATACTATTCATACACCAATTATTGAGTTAAAAACAATGTGAAGAATTGCATGTCCTTAATAAGATGTTATTGTCCATATATGATTAGGGATAGAAAGAGAAGAAATAAGGATACAGAAATACAGAATTGCTAAACAATCTCATACTTTTAATTTATATAATAGAACTACTTCAGGAGCTACATGGATTATGTCTAATTACACTGGTTGCAATTCAAGCTGGATGTCACCCTTCAAGCTAAGCAAGGCACAGGATATGGTAACTATGGACCAGGTATGAAAAGATATTCTGAATGTTTTTCTTATGCCCTGCCTTCCTTTCACTGAGGAATATTTTAACAGTGAAGCTCATAGGATGCAGGATTTAAATCAATTCACTTTTGTATTCATGCATATTTTATCTTGCTCTTGATTAGCTATTGCTTACTATTCTAATTAGGTCTCCAAATGATTATCTAACATTAAAAAAAGATTAATGGAACATTCTAGGTTCTGAAATGAACTTCTCAGAATTATTGCTTTGTATGTCCTGTTGATGTGGTGATGGACGGAAAAAGACAGAACCTCAAATTGGGCAAAAGAATCCCTACATGCTGAAAGCAACCAATAA